GGTGGTACTGGGCTTTATGGGGGTGGCCGGCCTGGTCTGGGTGGCCTAGCGCAGGGGTGATGAGGGGGAAGAGCAGTCTCGGCTCCTCGGGCCTCCAAGTCCCCTGGCCGCCTTCACACAACATCTGGCTTGGGCTGCGGGGAAGCCCTGGGAGTTCTTTTGACACAGAGCCACACACCCTCTGACCACAGTGGCCACATTTCTGAGAGCCCCTCACCTCTTGCCCAACCATTACACTGGCGACAGAGTTCTTCCTTAGCAACGACCTCTTCCTCAGCCCCCGGGACCTGAGCCAGGGCAGCCGGCTGGCAGGGTGGGAATGGACTGGTTCCCTGCTGCCGTGGGCTGGGGGCCACGGATGTGCTGGGGATGGGAGCGCGCCAAGGAAAGAGACCAGGGAGGGGCTCCTCCCTTCCAAGCCCCGGCAAATCCAGGGCTGTGGCCAAGCCCAGGTCCCTTTGATGGACACACGCAGAGCAGGAAGGGACACAGACAACAAGACTGGCTTTCCCAGACCCCCCCCCCTCTCGGGGCCGCAGCCTCCTCTCCCCTCCACTCCTGATGGGAGGCTACAGCAGGAGCGGGAGCCAGACCCCACGGCATGGCACCGTGCCGAGGCTGGAAGGGGCTGCAGGGACCCTCTTTTGGGCAACATGTCCTGACTCGTGTCTCTATCTTGTCACACTTGGTAACATCTTTGGGTACCATCTGGACCATTCAACTTAGTTGTTACAAACCTAACATTTATTTTAAAAGGAACCTACATCATAACTCTCGATGGATAGCTAGTCTCACTTGTCATGAACACGACATAATCGCAAAAATAAATATTATTGAGACCACGAGGACAGCTCCCCGAGGGCAGTGCGTTGTGATTTGCTGCTGTATCCCCAGCTCCCACAACAGTGCCTGGCACGTCACAGGTGAGCAAAGTATATCTTTTGAATGAGGGGCTGAGTAAATGAAGAAATGACTAAACGCAGAAAGGAATGCTTGATCGGGGAATGGATGCTCAGGGGAGGCACAAAGCCTGTTGTTAAAATGAGGAAAAGCAAATATTCGAGAGGCGTCAAAGCCATGCCTGTCTCACATGGAGACTTTCTTCTTGTATTCACCGTGTCCAGCAGGGCTGTCTAAGTGTGTTCCTGCCTGCACACACATGACGTGACACCCGTGTGCGGACAGCCTCCAGCGCCCTCAGCCACGTGCAGGCCACTCTGAGCCAGCCTGGCCGAGGGGGGTGCTGCAGTCATAGCTCTCCTCCCCGTCCGTCCTCCCACCGTGGACGGGCCATCTTCATAGAGCATGAAGTCACTGTCCTCGCCGGGCTGGAGCCTGTGGGGGTGGCCAGGCCTATGGGGGTGGCTGAGCCTGTGGGGGTGGCCACTGCACTGCTCTGGTAGAAGCCTGGCACAGGAAACCTGACGTCATCATGACTCACTCCTCGAGCTGGACTGGGGGTGGCCTCACTCGTCACTCTTACCTTCATACCTGCCCTGGCCTGTGATTGTAGCCACACCATTCATTTCTCACCCCCCCCCCCCCCCCCCCCGGACATCTGCCTGGGGTGTGGGTTTGGAAGGAGGAGGCAGGGACATGCAGCGGGAGGCAATCTCAGCACAGAGCTTTGTGCTTTGTGACTGGATGGGAAAACCACTCTGCAGGGAGGCGGGGGGTGTGCTGTGGGGCAGGGAAAGACCAGGGACCCCAAAGGTGGGAAGGGGAGGGGGTAGTGATGCTGAGCCAGCCGGTTACAAAGAAAAACACGCAATAACCATGTGTTCTCGTTGGGTATTTTAAGTTTTAAAAAAAGCCGAACCCCAAATCTACTTGATAGTGTCTGCTCTGTAAGAGCCAGGCCAGGACCAACAAAAATCCAAACCACCTTTTGAGTCTGGCACAGACCTACTGCCACCCCCTCAGCACCTAGTGAAGGGAGCAGGGGCCTCCTTCCGGGACCTGTAGCCTGTGGACCTCAGGTCTAGCGAGACCCCTCCTCCCACTGTCCTCCCCCAGGTGCCCAGAGCCCTGCCTTCTCTCCGCCGGGGCAAGCGGTGGTCCTTGAGGAGGTGGCATGACTCACCAAGGGTCAGGGGATCCTTAGTCAGAGCAGAAGTAGGGTGGGATGTGGGCTATACATTCTCTTCCCCTCTCTTCTTCCCGGGCGTCAGGCTTTCACCCAGGTATGGGGGTGGGGGTTCCCCCAGTTGGGGAGTGGGGGGAAGGTCAGGGGAGCCCTTCCTTCATGGTGAAGTCAGGCCTCCCTGAGCCTGTGTTCCAGAGCTGAAAAGCCCCAAAGCAAGTGGCATTGCATACAGGTAGCCACGGCAGGCAGAAATCACTGCTTCTGGCCAGAGTGGGGGGCAGGGCCCTAGGGCCTGTGACACGGGAGCAAACCTCAGCAGTGCACTCCCACACTCACGGGGAACTTCCAGAAAGGTCACCGCTCTCCCAGGAGGCCCCACCCTGCCCAGCTGATTTCCTCCTGAGCCAGGATCCCACCTGGCCAGTCCTCCCGCCCCCTCCCCAAGGAGCTGAAAGGCCAGGGCTCCCAGCACAGCAGGTGACACCAGCCCCGTGGTCAGCAAGCCTGGGCCTGACTGTCCTTTCATGTGCTCTGTAATTTGCCCCTGGAATCAGCCATTAAGTCATCTGCAGGCTGATGCCAAGGATAAGGCCCATATCGGACTCTGGGATCTGTGGCCCAGACTCCTGGGCTCTGCTGTGGCTTTGCTGAATCAGCCTCCAGACTGGCCTGGTAGAGAGGGACAGCTCACCGCAGGTGCTCGGGCAGTGGCGTGGCCTCAGAGCCTTGGAACCAGTGTAGGCTAGCAGCTGGTCTATTCTGAGCGCCCATCTTTCTGATGGGGACACTGAGGCACAAGAGGGTGGTGTGACCTCAGGCATCTTGGGCGCCCTTAAAGCTTCTCTCACCTGTGTCCCCTCTACCCCTCAGCACACAGAGCAGCAAGCTGACATTGTGGAATTGTATACAGATCTGTTCTAACACACAGACACGGCAAGCCCAGTATAGGGCTGGGGGGTACACACGGGTCCTAGCTGTAGTCCTCCAAGAAGGTCTGTACGGGGGGCCTACATGGGAGCTGGAGGGGTCCTACGAAGGCACAAAGTGGTGACTCGGGGAAGGGGGGCTGAGGAGGTTAGGATTGGGTGGCTGTGGGGGCAGCTCCAGCTCCAGGGCACTGTCCCCACCCACTTGAACTTTTCTGCTTTGGAGTTCACATCTCCCACACACACCTGGGGCTCACCACATCCTGCCCCAGGGCTTTGGGCTGGGGTGGGGGTGGGGGTGGGAGTGGGCAGAAGGGTTGTGAGAGCTTCCGCTTCTTTCTGCTCACGGCCTTGCTGGAGCACCAGGGTCCCTGCCATCCAGGGATCTGCTGCAGGAGGAAGGAGGCTGAGCAGGGGGAGGGGAACAATGGAGGAGCAGGTTCTGGTAGCTCTTCTCCCCTTCCCCTTGGGGCCGCTCCTGAAATTCCCGCGAGGTACCCGGGAGAGCCCAACACCGTCAGCAGAAGAATTCCCCTTCAGAGCTGGCCTATGACTTGGGGAAGTGCTTTGTCTCGGGTCCCTGGGGTTTCCCTGGGCTCCTGGGGAGGAAGCCTTGCCCGCTCATACTGGAAACTCATCATGGGCCCCCTGCCTCTCGCACCCCTCCCAGGCTGGGGTCCACCTCACCCAGATGCCCAGGGTGTTGGCCTCAGAGGACCATGTTCTGGCCCAGCTCGGCCACTAACCTGCTGTGCAACCCTGAGTGCTGGTCTCAGCCATCCAAGGGGGGGGGGGGGGGGGGCGGGAAGCAAGCCCCTCCGGCCCAAGGTCTAGTAGAAGAGACAGTGACCCTCCAGTGCAGAGATCACGGTGGCAGCAGGCACACGTCACATTTGCTGAAATACATTCCTCAGGGGAACATCCTGGGAGGAACAGAGAAAAGGGAGAGGAAGCAGGGCAGGGGCACCAGGACTCGAAGTCCCTGGGAGGGGGATGTGCATACGAGAGCCACTGCCCGAGGACTGGCAGCGCAGGGCAGATCAAAAGGCGGCACTCGGTTCCAGGCTGCGGCGTAAACCGGGGATGTTTGGGCCCCACTGCTCCTGGCACACACTTCCCTCCAGAGGTGGTCCCGGTTTTACCCCAACGCACCCCGCCCCCAGTCTGGGCTGAGCCCGCGTGAGGCCGCGGGGGCGTCCCCGGCGCCTTCCTGCTCTGCCCTTATTTGGTAACCCGGGGGCCGGGCCGGGCTACTTAAGGCCGGGCTGCCGAGGGCGCCGCGGGAGCCGACAGGACTGGGACGGCAGGGCCTCGCGCAGAGCAGAGGTAGCAGGAGGAGTGGGGGACGCAGAGAAGGAGCGCAGGAAGAGGCCGGCGCCATGGGCTGGAAGAGGCGCGCGAGCTGTAGTGCGCGGCGCTGGGTGCGCTGCTGCGGGAGAC